TAGCAAATGGCTGCAATATAACAAAGAGTGAAAAATTTAAGGGGGTCTGAATACTTTCCGTACCCACTGTATATAGGCTGTTATATAGTATTATAAAAGCATTATATAGTGGTTCAAGGCATTATATTGTGTTTTTATTTTTTGCGTCACAGATCGGACTATATTTCGGATAAGCAAGAAAAAAAATATTTAAAGCACAGAGAATGACAATGCTGTGAAGGGTTTTTGACATAGGCTAATTTTATGTGTATGTATATGCAACTCGGTATTTCCGCGCTGTCTGAAACCCGTCTCTATGGTTGTGCACGCTTTGATTGTGTGCGAGAACAGTGTGTGAGTAATGATTTGAGCTCTCGTTCGTTTCTTCTTCTTGTGGTTTAAAATTGCTTGTACGTGTAAATTGGCAAATTAATCTGCGAATCACGTGCGTGCCGAACGGTAGGGTCTCATCCGTACGTATTACAGATCAACTGCGATCCGTTTAAATGTGACAGATCAGAGCAATCTTTAATTTACTTATTTAACATGAAATTGTCAAATTGCCACTCCATATCAATGGCATACAAAGAAAATATAGAATAATTAGAACAATCATTAACATAAATAAATAACAGAGTGTCATATCTATACACATTTTTCCCAGAACGTACTTGCGACCCGGTAGCAATTCTTCCATGGCCGGGTAGTGGGTCGCGACCCGGTGGTTGGGGTCCTCTGCTTTAGTGTAATGATTCTCACATGTCTTTCACATTCCTTTGTACATCACAACATAAATGATTATCAAATTAGGGTCTACATAAATTATATAAAATGGGTTCATTTTGCTATTGAAAATGCAATTTTTAACAGTACATTTCTATAAGACTTCAAAGGTACACTATGTAACTTTTTTTGTTCAAAATTTAAACTTGATATGAGCGAGTACATCATGAATCCATCTACTAAAATTCAATTCAATTCAAGTTTATTTGTATAGCGCTTTTCACGATACAAATCGTTGCAAAGCAACTTTACAGCAAATTAAGTTTCTACAATATTTAGTGGTAGCTTATCAGTGGTGACTGTCAGTTAATGTACATATGGCAGAAATGTACGGAAAAATCAATTAAAGATGTAATCAAACAGACGATGAACACTATTAACAGCAATTATTATATGATGCAATCAAACTTATAGCAAAATGTGGTAGTTCTGTATGTTGTGAAAAATGTGTTTTTGTCTTTGTCTGAATGACTAAGGTATGCCTATAATAAGTGTTTATATTGGGACTATTTTAGACCGAGCAGGATGCCAACCACTGGAGTAGCCCAGTACTCAAAGTAGCTCCGGCTACAATGTTCTTTCACAAGATGCATTTATTATTTTTTTTACATAGTGTACTTCAAACAACGAATAAATTATATAGAGAAAGCGAGCAAAGAACACAATGGAGCTTTTTGAAACCTTTTTGAAACTCCGAATCAGTTCAACCATCGAAGCGCTCCAATCGAAATGATTCAGCAGCACTCCAATCGGATCGAGTATCACGAATCATTTGATTCAGATCGGGACTTCAAAGCGTGTATCGCGAATCATTTGATTCAGATCGGGACTTCAAAGCGTGTATCGCGAATCATTTGATTCAGAACGGGATTTTAAAGCACGTATCGCGAATCATTTGATTTAGATCGGGACGTCGGAGCGGGTTCGCAGGATGTTTTTATCCCCACCGGGGATATCAGCAGCATGAATTCAGCAGAGGCAGGGATGCATAGACCAGAGGGGGGAGAAATCCCCCCCATCCTCCCGGCAAATCGCACCCTGTATATATAATGATACACAAAACCACCCATTGAGTGACTCTTGCCACTCAACATTTCAATATTCCACTAATTTCTCTTTAAACCAGTGGTTTTAAAAAAAAATGGTTCACCCAACAATGAACATTTCCTAAAACTTTTCTCACCCTCATGCTACATCATCCAAGACATAGATGGGTTTGTTTCTTCATCGGATCAGATTTGAAGAAATTTAACATCACATCACTTGCTCATCAATGGATTCTTTGCTATGAATGGGTGCTGTCAGAATTCAAACAGTTGGTAAAAACATTACAATAATCCACAAGTAATCCACACAACTCAAGTCCATCAATAAGGTATTGTGAATTACAAAGCTGCATGCCTGTAAGAATTGCTTCTGGTCAAAATACGAGTCCATAATCCATAATAATACTTCCTCCAGTGAAAAAGCCCATCCAATGTTGTCCTCTCACTTCAAAATCCAATGACATATTTGTTTAGAATTGTTTTGGACTGTTTTTGCTTGTAAACTGTGCTTTATCTCTTTATATTTCTCTTCTGATTTAGATGAGATGTCTTTTTTACTAGAGAAAGCAATATTATGGATAGAGGTGGTTAAAAAAGTTAAAAGTCAAAAATGTCTTAATTATGCAGATATTCACTTCACAAAACATTCATTGATGAACTGGATTTGTGTGGATTACTTGGGTTTTTTTTTTTTTTTTTTGGTGAACTATTATTTTAAATACTGGTGCTGTGGACCTATTGCTCTACATATTTTGTATGTCTCTCTTATCTTACACAGTTCAGTTCAGCTAACAAGCTCATGATCTGAATCTAGTGTGTTGAATAAGTGAAATAAAAATGTGCAGAGCTGTGGTTCCCCAGGACCAGGATTTAAAACCACTGCTTTAGGTGTTACAGTGATTCTGTTTTAGGTGATAGAAATGAGTGTAGCTTTCTTTTTTTTTCATATTAGTTTTATTCTGATCAGTTCATGAATCATGATAGAGGGAGATGTTTTTGAATAATCACTTTGTGCACAATATGAATTTCATTCATACTGTGGTGATGTTACAAATGAAAACTTGTGTGTGTGTGTATATATATATATATATATATATATATATATATATAAATATAGTTGGATGTTAACATTCTATAGTTCGCTTACTATTGCTTTAGAGAGTATCAAATCACCACAATATGTAATGTGACCTATAAGTATAGTACGCACATTAGGATATTGTTCATATGCAAGTAAAAATTAGAATCCAGATCTATTACTACATGGAACTTAGTACACAGTAGTTTAGTACACATGTTAGTTTACCAAATAACAGCTGACATAGAGTATTTTGAATGATGTGTGTGTGTGTGTGTGTGTTTGTGTGAATGATTTTTGGAACTGCTCTTTGTTTACCATTATTCATCATTGCCACTACTAATGTTAAATAATAATAATAATAATAATTTCACTTTCAGTTATGATAAAAAAAAACATTCTGCTTATGTTGTTTTTCAAATGCCTTTATTTCCGCGTTCTAAAAACACTTTTTTTTTTTGCTGTATTCCATTTTAGTTATATCAGTGGCTTTCTTAAAACATGTTTTAATTAGTTGTTTTATTAAGTTCTCTCTTGAATTCTCTGAATTCTCTCTTTCTTTCTTTCTTTCTTTCTCTTTCTCTCTCTCTTTCTTTCTTCTCTAGACATGAGTTATACATGAGCAATGTCTACTTTGTGTCACTGTTTTTCAGTGCATGTCCCAGTGTTTGGGTTGGCTTATTTCATCTCCCTTTTTAATTATCACAGTAGTTTGTCTTTTTTGTTTGTGTGTGAGTGTGCTGTTGAACCAAACGTGAACAAGCAAGTTTCCTGCTTATTCTTCTGTTGTCTTTAAGAATTGGTTAGTATTTGCTTTGCAGTTGTTATTCTCCCACAAGTCCAGTAGACTCTCCACTCATTATCCCACAGTCCACTTAGCTTTTTGTCATCTTGATGCCTTCAGGCCCTTAAAACTCTGAATTTATCCCTTATTTCCTTTTCCAATCTCTGTCCCTTTAATTTAAATTTTGGTTAATTTGCTCCTTAAATGTCATCCAAGTGGAAGATGATGAAGACAATGAAAAAACTGAAACATCATTCCTGAAAACACAATTGATCCGAGACTCTCCTGCTCTTGCAAGTCCAGATTTACTCTCTGAAGTGTCAGAGATGAAACAAGACCTTATCAAAATGACTGCTATTCTGACCACTGATTCCTCAGTAAAAGCGGGTCCCATGCAAGGGGATTATTTAGATAAGGGGGTGGAGGAGGTGTCAGCAGAGCCTTTTGAGATAATGGAAAAAGTCAAAGAGGATTTGGAGAAAGTTAGCAAAATTCTGAGAAGTGGAACATGTGACAAGGAAGAGTCTGCAAAAATAGACAGCCGTCCATATAGGAAGGATGAGGGGTGGGTTCTCCTAACGGAAAGTGAAATCGAAGAGGCACAAATGATGGCTGCCTTTGAATCTCAAGAATCACTTCTAAAGGAAGTTCGAGTCAACAGAGGATCACAGAGACCAAAGGGTGCTAGGGACAGGCCTGGCATAGAGACTATTCCCAGTGCTGAAGTTAAGGAATACTTATTGGATGCACCTGAAACATCTAGGCCTACATCCCAAGAGTCTCCATCACAGCAAAGGTTCACTGAGGTTGTTCTGCGCAGAGGTGGTCGAAAAATAGTCCCTACAGTGGCAAAAGACACTAAGGCCTATACAACAGAAGTAAAAAAGCCAGTCAGAAGAAAAGGGCCTCAAGGGCACACCGATGAAACCCAGTCATTTAGCACAAAAGAAAGCATTGCAAGTAAAAGCGCCAGGAAGTCTTCCAAAGGGGATGCCTTTCTACCCGTCCCTGCAGACCAAAAAAAGTATCCTGTTTCACCAGTGGTTGAGGAGACACCAATCGGTTCCATTAAAGAGAAAGTTAAGGCTCTTCAAAAGAAAGTAGAGGAAGAACAAAAAGGTCAGAAAAAACAAACAGGCCAAAAACCTCCATATACAGCTACAGACGCTAAAGCATCTTCTGTTGTCAAAGATCAGAAAACATCAGGCCTGAAAAAACAGACTTCTTCACCCCAGAAACAGTCTCCTTCTAGGTCACCAAGCTCTGAGCCTGGGAGACTAGAAGAAACCATGTCTGTGAGAGAACTAATGAGAGCATTTCAAACTGGCCAAGACCCCTCAAAAAGAAAATCTGGGCTCTTTGAGCACAAAGGGCCTTCCAAAACAGAATGCGCAATAGTGAGTAAACCAGAGGCTATCCTCACAAAGTCACAAAGTCTTCCCCAAGCACCCTCACATGAAGAAGTGTCTCTTGATGTTTTAAAGCCTGAAGATCACCATGAAGAAAAAGAAGTCAAAATTAGTCCACACATAAAATACTCTGAAGACATTGAAGAAGATACGAGTCAAAAGAGTCGTCAGCATCCACAGGAAAAGAGTGGTGAGGCTTTGGTTTCTGGAATAGTGTCAGCAGGTCCTTTTACTCACTCAAGCATGACAACAGCAATTCCTCAAAATTTGTCAGAACAGCACAGAGATCTATTGCCTGATAATGGTACAGAGAACAGTGCGTTTGATGACATCTCTGACAGCATTAGACATGAAGCATTGGTCGACTCGCCCAATGCCAGCCTCGCTGAAGTGGAAGCTCCTTTGAGTCCTGAGGAAAGTTACAAACATGAGGGCATAGCTGAGACTCCAGAAACAAGCCCTGAGAGCCTCTCATTATCACAGAATAAAACAGCTCAGTCTATACTTGCAAAGACCACAAAATCAGTAGCAGTCACCCCTAAAGCCAAGACAAGTAAAGTATATGTTTCCTTTTCTACTGAGATGAAGACAACTAATGAACAGGCATCTGAAGCTACAGTTCATCATCCATCGTTGAGCCATGCAGTGGATGAACCAACAAAAAGTGAGTCTATGTCTATTCCTCATGCAAATAGGGGGGTGAACTTTGAGGGTGAACAAACTTCTGTTGATAAGGACATTGTTTCTGTGTCATCCAAGACATCTAAATCTCGAAAACTGACAAAAAGAACATCTGAAACACTAGAGTGTTTTTTGAGTGATGAGGAATCCTTTGATGGTCAACTAATACCAACCTCTGCTGACTCCCTGGCCTCAAGGGCAGCTACACAGGATCATGGTGGTTTAGTGCTACCTCTTAGACACCAAGATTCAGAGAACCTTAGTCCAGTAGCTGATGACTCTTTTACTATTAGCCACAAGGACTCTTTAGAGAGTAGTCCCTTGATGGAAGACAACTCTTCCCATAAAACCCCAGACTCTATTGAGCCTAGTCCAACAAAAGAATCCCCGTGTCTTGACTCTTTAGAAAGCAGCCCCATAGAGATGAAAACCAACCTGGCTTTTCCACCTACAGTAGAACAACCCAGTGTGACCACAGGGCCCCTGACATCCTCCAAAGCCCCTGAAATCCCACCAGACAGTTTGCGTAGTAGAATGCTCAAAGACCAGACAGTTTGCGTAGTAGAATGATCAAAGAACAGGAGGGTAATGCTGACGATGACAGTTGTGAGCAGACGTCCCTGATGACAAGTTCAGGTAAGAGTCCTCTCTCACCTGACACACCAAGTTCTGAAGAGGTAAGTTATGAGGTCAATCCTAAAACCCCAGACCCCATGGTCCTGATTGTTCCCTTTAAACCATCAGTAATCCCAGAGGAGACAGTAGAAGATGATGAGTTGAAGTGTGGCCTGACACAGAGGAAAATTACTCAAGAGGAAGAGATGTTTAAAATGGCTGCCAAAATAAAAACATTTGATGAAATGGAACAAGATGCAAAAGACAAAAAGGACAATAGAAAAGACAGTGAATCCTCTCAGACCTTGGTAGCATCTGATGCAGGAGATGATAGCTTCAAACTGTTTGGGCTTGCATCCAAACATGAAACATCCTCTTTGGGTGATGTTGGGTTTAGTGAACTCAAACAAGCCTCAGAGATAGCACGGTCTGTTGAACCGATCATTAAAGTACAACCTCCCTCTCCTTTTCCAGCAGGTATTCATAAGAGCCCCCAAACACCTGATGACATTCAACAAACCATGGCCCACAGTGCAGCATCTTCAGCTGAATCAGCAATGAGGAGACCACAGTCTGTCTCAGAAAAGCATACCATAAAACCACACCTTCAAGAGTCTCATAGTCAGAAATTTAAGGACAAAGATTATGTTGATTCAGAGTTAGTACAGCTGAACAAAACTGCCTCTAACAGCAAAAATATAACTGATGAACAAAAAGAGCAAAGCTTAAAAAGATCAAAAGGAATTCAAGAAATGTACAGTCATGAACAACAGAAGGAGGCAGCTAATTCCCAAAATGTTGACTGCAAATCACATAGTCAAGAAGAGTCTAATGTAACGGATGAGATTAAAGGGGATTACATGAGGCATGCAGGGACATCTTATGTTGATATTTGTAGTGGCAGCTTAGATATTGATTCTATTCCAATCATTGGGCAAACAAAAGAAACGTTTAAACCAGAAATATGTATTTATGATGACACAGAGGAAGATCATGCTGAGGAGGAACCTCCTAAGACTGAATCTAGAGGAGTTACAGCAAAAGCAGAGACAGATGCCTGGAATTCAACGCGAGAAGATGATGATGCATTTGCAGCAAGAGTCAAAGAGGAAGAGCAAAAGATCTTGGGTCTGGCTGTAGATCGGCATTCCCAAGGGGCTACTTCAGACATAACACCAGCAAGGACACCCACTGAGGAGGGTACACCAACAAGTGAACAAAATCCTTTCCTTTTTCAAGAAGGAAAACTTTTTGAGATGACAAGAAGTGGTGCGATAGACATGACAAAAAGGAGTTACGAGGAGGAAGGTTTTGCATTTTACCAAATAGAGCAACCCATTGTAGAGGTCATAGCTGAAGAAGGAGGTAATGAAGCTGTTAGAACATCCAATGATGCTGAGCATGAGATTGGTTGTAACCTCTCTTTGCAAGTAAAAGCAGAGGAGGATGAAGACCTCCTTAAAGAGGCTGCAGATTTATCTGTACATTCTCCTGCTGGGGATAACCTGGCTGCAACTGCAAAGTCAGATTTTTCAAAATCTAAACCCCCCATCAAATTGGATATTTCTGCCTCAACCAAAACCTCAGAGAAGGACCAAACAATGTTAGAGGTTAAATCAGACAAAGTTATGAGTGAGGGACATTTTGAATCTGATCCTGGTTCCTCTGACACTGTCATAGCCAATGTCCAGACAGCAGTGTCAACAGTTACTAGATCAGTTCGTTCCCAACAAGACCAAGAGTCCTCAGATTCCTCCCCAGAGGATCAGCACTCAGTAATAGAACAAACCAAATCACCTGAAAAGACAGAATCCCACAGTAAACTTGCATCTAAGCATTACACTGCAGCATCTCTATCATCTACGACTAGAAAAGATATGTCCACCTCCAAAGAGGGAGAGAAACCAAAATCCCGAATCCCTGTTAAGGCCAGCTCCCTAAGGTCTGACTGTGAAGAACTTGCCAAGGATAAGAAGTCAAAGTTGCCCATAAAACCTCAATCAAGGAGAAAATCTGAGACAGACACAGGCCCATCCATAGCCTCCAGTTTAACAAAGTCTTCTAAAGCCAAGAGCTTCTGTGAAAGTGATTCCACCAAAAAAACAGCCAAAAAGGGCCAGAATCGTCCAACAAACACTGACCTATCCAGCACAACTAAGACACTTCCTTCAAGATTACCAATCAGGGGAAAGCCTGACCAGCCAGTTCAAACTTCCACACCAGCAAAACAAAAAAAGGTTCAGCAAACTGACACAAACAAACAGTCCATTCCATTTTTTGAAGAGATTAGTCATGAGGCAGCTAAGGTAGTGGAGAGTTTGGCTCAGGCAGAGAAAGACAAACAGGAGGCTGTTGCCTTATCTGACGATGAAAGCAGCACCACCAATGCCTCAGTAATAGAGAGTGAACCTTTCACTTACATCCAAATGACTTTCCCTGAGGATTCCTTGGTTATTAGGCCCAGATGGGACAACCCTGTTGAGATGCAGATGGAACGAATCCCTGCTGATAGAGTCCGAAGTCAAGGTATCCCCCATCTCTTGGGGCCCATTATCTCTTTCTCGTCTACCTTAGCACCTCAGTGATGAAAGTGCTGCTTCTCTGTCTTGTATCTAATGCTTCAACTCTTCATAGTGGTACTTTGATGTTTGGGCTATGTTTGTGACTTTGTGTCTCTTTTCCATTTATCTGACTTAAATCTCAACATTAATATAAAACCAAAAGTGACCTTATTTATCTTAACATTAAATGATAAATTGTAAAAAAAAAAAAAAAAAGTTCCAGTATTAGATTTGTGTGCTTATGTGGCTCTTGCTGCTTTGCTGGAATTTGCAGTAGATCCACAGGATGAGGCTTACAGGAAAGAGGGTCGCCTGGCTGTAATAGCAGACCACCTTGGTTTCAGCTGGTCAGGTAAGCAGCTTTTTTGAATATCAATTAACCAGCTTACAGAAATTTTGTCATTACGTTAATTCATTTACAGTGACTTGTGAGCAGAGAGCTTAGATGTTGACAAAGCAATACAGTAAGTATACAGAATTATACAGAAAGTATTAATATAAACTTTAAACGGTGCCTTGGTTTCAAAATGTTTGGGAACCACTGCTCTATACTCACATTTTTTAAATGTCAATATGCAGTACAGAACTTAATCATACAGTTTAAGAGTGACCCAGCAATACTGCAAAAGACATTGTGGTTAAAATAGTAGAAATGTTTAAGAGGTTGGGATACTTTTACGTTATGTTTGTATTTGTTTGCAATAATTGTCATCACTACTTTTTATCTTTGTAAACTTTATTTCAGCACATATACTGCCTTACAGTCATAAGGACACTTTGTTTCATAAGTATACTTTGTTGATCTGAATTAAATGCATGATTTATTACCAATGTGTTTTTGTTCAATCAGAATTCGCTCGAGAGCTTGAATTCAGTGAGGTACAGATCAATCAGATAAGAAATGAGAATCCAAATTCTCTACAAGACCAAAGCCATGCCCTCCTAAGGCTATGGAAAGGAAGGGAGGGCAAAAATACTACAGGTAAGACTACTGATCATGGGTTTTCCGTTAGTTTGTATCTAAATTTGCATTGCAGATAGCAAACATTATTAAATCTGAGATCAGTTAAAAAATATTTAAAGTTTTCCGCTCAGCCACCACAAATGTGCAGCACCCTTCTGAAACCACTTTTCTGTAATTAATTCAGCAGCAACTGCTTCACAGATAGAATTCAATAAACTTTCTACAATTATATTTAAAAAAATGCATCATTGAAAATTTTTGGTTAAAAAACATTTGAGCAAGTACATAAAAACAGTGTCCAAAACAGCACTGTTGCATAGAATTTGAACTAATCAGCTATTTGGTGATGAATATGGACTGTTCTAAACAGCAACCCTTACTGACCTCTGTGAAATTATCAAAACATCAAACTCAGTGAGTCTGCAATCAAAAAGGGAAAGCGACAGAGCCTGTGACAAAACAAGATCCGAACCACAGTGGCAGATATGATATTTACCTGCTCAGATTTTTTTTTTCTGATATAGACTTTGTCGGAATATCTTATTATTGTCTTGGTGCAGCATGACAAATCTGCACTTATATGGTGATCACCAGTAACCATGGGGTAAACATCATATTCATCCACGCTGTACAGAAGTGCCAAAAAAACAACTGATGTAAAAGAAATACTCTGCAAGTAACATGCAACTTTGTTTCAATTTCATGGAAATAGAGAGGCCAGTGTTCTGTAGTGCAGCTTTGATTATTTATTTCTTCTTCATTTTGGCACTTGAAGATATAGGTCACCCCAAAATGAAAATTCTATCATTAATTGCTCACCCTCATGTCGTTCCAAATTACGGTTGAACCACTGATGTCACATTGACTATTTTATAGATGTACTTACTACATTTCTGGGCCTGGGAACGTTTCAGTTGCATTACTGTCTATGCAGGGTCAGAAAGCTCTCGGATTTCATAAAAAAAATACCTCAATTTGTGTTCCGAAGATGAATGAAGGTCTTATGGGTTTGGAATGACATGTGGGTTAGTAATTAATGATATAATTTTCATTTTGGGTGAATTATCCCTTTAACTCGCCATTGTTGTAAATTGATTGACTGAATGAGAGATTACTTTTTTAAGTATTCTTTTTTGTAGCACGTGCGACATATATGTCGCACTGTACAGCCCTGTCAGGCATATAATATTCAGTCGAAAAATTGGGTGAAATATTACAAGCAGACATGTAACATAAAATAGCTATATCTTACCACCAGAACATCATAGAGACACTGGGCTCTTTTGTAGTGTTGGGTCGTTCTTGAACGATTCGTTCGTTTTGAACGAATCTTTAATGTGACTCGGGAGGAACGAGTCGTATCGGGAAGTGATTCGTTCAGTCGCGCATGCGCAACATCCTATAGGTTCTGTACTGGAATTAGTCAAGTAGTTCACCTGGTTCGA